GAGATGGGAAGAGCAAACTGGAATTACAAGAAAACATATCCTTGCTCTTGAGTACATCAGCAAACTGAAGAAATTTGTACTGATGAGATCAGTTGTGTTTATTGGGATAATTTATTGCTTTTCACACTGATTTTTGACCAAGTGTCAGTCCTATGGAGCCATATGTTGTGGCACAGTACTTAGCAAGCAATTGCAGCATTGACTTCTCTGGCTCTGCTTGAAAGAGTTTGATCCTGACATTAGTCTATCTATCTGATCTGGTTCTTCTCCTAAATTAGTCAGCTGTACATTTGGCTCACTATAATGCATCAAGAACATGCAGAAACATCTAGGTTAGTTTTTCTATCTGCTATCATGTCTAGATAACCCTTAAACCTACTGGCAAGTACTAGTCAGAAGCTAGTCAGTACTAGTCTGAAATAATAAAAAAATCTGACCCCTACCCTAAACTTTGGGCTTTGGCACCAAGGCAGTTGGGCCTCTTAAATAAGTAATTTATTCAAACTCAGATGGCTGACCATTGCAAGCAAGGTGACTCTTTTTTGATTCTGCTTTCTGGGTGGTCTTCTGGGAACCTAAGCAATTCTACTGGAAAATGAGTGGGATATGCCACTGCCAGTAAAAGAAAAATGAGAATGAAATACAGTAAATTTGGTACAGAGAAATCCTTTGTACCTTTTGAGTGAAAAAGTTTTTATCGCTTTGTCTTAGAAAGAGCTGCATTTCAAATATTGATATTTGCAGAACAAACTTTGTTGTGCAGCTGGTCATCTTCTGAAGCAGTAGTGAAATTGGCAGCAAGGCTGCTGTAATTCTGTGGTCATTTGGGATAACATATAAAACCAGAAAGAAACCTGCTTTTTATGACTATGTTTGCAGTGCTGACAGTAAAATCACATTCTAATTTGTGAAGTGAGTAAATATGGAAGTAATCAAGGAGAACAGAAGAAATACAGTGCAGCAGTATTCCTTTTTTTTTTTACAACTGACTGTACTTTTCTGGTCATAGAAAAATACACATTGTGATCTAACTTCAGAGTAATTTTCAGTATCCCTTACAAGTAAGGAGGGATGGGAACCAGACTTCAAATAATTGCCTAGGCTTTTCCCCATTCATTCATATTATCAGATTCCCAACAATACCATTTTTCTTCTGCCTTCTTTACTTCAGTCTGAAAATTTACAGGGAATACTACATGTTCATATTCCCAGAAGTATTTATTTCTGAAACTTTTTCCAATGTTCCTGCAAAACTCTCGCTTAAATATAACTAATGTATAGATGTCAGGGTCATTAAAGCTTCATCTTTCACTGTACAAACAATTACAACACGTTCAGTATTTTTCAGTGCTGAAACAAGGACATATTTTAAAATCGTATTTTATGTCTTTTGCCAAGTCTGCTGATTATTGGTCTCCAATAATAACACAATATATATGAGAAGTTGTAGTGAATCTCCAGGAGGATTTGTAAGATCCTTAGTTTTCCACTGAATTATATTCAAATACAGGAAATAACAAGCTTGAACCCAAATGAAAGCACATATTCTTGACAGGTCCAAAGCATTTTCTGCAGGAGTTTTAGAAGTCAGGAACACTGGATCCTACAAGCCTGGTTTCTGCCACTATTAACGTTCATAGAGCTGAAGACTCATGGAAATGTGTCTAAGGACTTGGTAAAAAAATTGTAGCATTGATAAACTACTGAAAATACATGAGCTTAGTATGTTCATATAATTTCAAAAGATAGCACCATGAAGTAATCAGAACTGACGGAGGTCAAATGGTCATGAATATTTTTAAAACCCAAAATTTTTTACCAGGGGACAAACAAAATACTTTTTCTGAGGTGAAAAGAGTGATGTTCCTTATAACATTTTCACCACCAACATTCAGGAAAAATGTAATCAAAATTTAAAAAGTCCCAAAGACAGAAACACTAATAAGTTTAAGACCTAATGTGAAAACTTTCCAGACAAATGTAAATTTGTGTCACTTCAGAAATCAACCATGTTTTATCTTATGTATAATGTAAAGTCTTTTTGTGTGTCTGCCATGAACCAAGAACATCAGAATGTGCATGACAGTCTGTGGCTCATCACTGACTGTAAATTTGCAATACTGTAAAACCCAGAAATATTTCCAAGCTCATGGGTGTTCTAGCTCTGCTTTGGAGATAGTCCTGTCCTTCAGGTGTGTGATCTGCAGGTAACAGACACGTGACTACTACGCAATCTGACAATGAATGAGAGGACTGGGGCAGACTGCAGTGCTCTGCACATTTTCAACAGTCATGAAGGAGCAGGGTAAGCATCTCTCTGTGCAAGCCACCATCTACATCATGCTCTTCAACTGGATGATGAGTTGGGCCTAGAAAGCTGGCTGGAATATCAAAACTTTAGAAGCAAAAGAAGTATGTAAGATAAAAATGTTGCTGACTCTGTTGAGCAAGGCATGAGTCTTTTCACAGATAGTTTCCTCTGCTTTTATTGAGAAGGCACATAAATGACTTCTCAATGATTCCTGCAATAAGAAGGAAAACCTCCAAACCAGATATGCGTGTCTTGTGACACTGATCTTTATCTTCAGCAACCCCCTTGAAATTTAAGTAGAAGAAACCCATAGGAGATGACTCCAGACAGCAAGTTAATAATTTTACATGGTTGAAATGATGGTGGAAGCATTGCACAAATCCACTATGTAAAAGATAATGTATAGCATGTATAATAACCTGGAAGTTCTATTTATTGCCTTGCAGCTCATTTTATCAATTTTTAAATATTTGATGCAGATGTGTAATTTCCAAGCAAGTTCTCATCTGTAGCTTTAGATTTCCATTACTGTATTAATATTTGCTGTTTGCATTTTTTAACCCCCAAGGCATGAAACCAGTGATTAATGAAGTTTTGACTCCCATTTTTCTTAAACTCTGGCAAACCCATGCATGACTTTATCCAGGTTTCTAACATCATTTTTCACTCTGTTGTCTTTAACTCCAGTAAAATAAAATGTTCACCCAGAGCTCATTATCACTCCTTTTCTTCACATTTCACTTTGTTCCTTTGCACATATACTGTTTTCCTTCACTACTCAACAATTCTTCATATGCCAGATTTCCAAATACATGTCAAATTGAATACCTTTTGAGTCCCAAGAGATACTGGTGCCTAACAGTAGCACAGATAAGGGATCTCACACATAGCAATTTATATACCCAAAGTTCTTATATGGGACATCCAGAGAACGTAGAGCCAACACCTCAACATAATAAATGATGAAAGGCTTAGCAGGATTAAAGTTGATTGGGTGGGTAGTAGAATGGAAAGAATCAATGGACAATTTTCTAATTGACTGGATAGCCTACTCCATGCTGATATTTTGCTAGAAAAAATATCTCAGAAGATTTTCCTAGGTTTGAATAATAACAAGGCTCAAATTCAAACCAGTAAAACTCCAGTGAAGCTGAGGGAACTGCCTCAAGAATTGGTTTGCTGGTTTGCTATTTTGCAATTACAATCCATGGAATTTCCTTGCCCATGAAGTGAAACAGCAGGGTATGGAGCAACATGGCCAAATGAAATTGATCTGGACGTGGTTGTATACATGCAGGGCAGAAAACCCTTTGTCATTCAATTACTTCTTTTAAACAATAAAAAATGCCTGAAACTCCTAAAGTCCTCTTTTTGGAAATCTGAGAGGGAATGGATGAAACAGGAGTATGACCCAGTCTTAAATCAGTGAGCACAATAAAACCATACTCAAAATGATTTACTCAATGCTAGTAAATACCTATGACATCTTCCCCACTGAGGACTATTTCAATGCAGTTTTTGTGCAAGCAGAAATGTAATCCAGAGCTGCAGGCTAAAAGCCATTGCAAATGTATGCAGATGTATGCAGATACTTGGAAAAGTAAACCACACAAAACTAAACACATAAATAGAATGTCTCCACTGTGAAAATAAAATCTCAAAATTGCTATTAAATGTGAGGAAAGAATGCTTTGGAAAGTGCAGAGATGTATTAACACTCAGGACATCTCATCTGCAGAACCCTTGCTAAAAGTTTCAGATCCCTTCCCCCAAAAGGAGAAAAGATAGTTCTGAAGCTGTAGGGCTCGACACGTTTTCATGGTATGCAATAATGTGTTCATTAGGGAAGCTGCTTGCCAATCTGAGCCTGAAAATTAATAGAGTTTCAAAGCAGCCTGTGAAATGAAATCATAAAATAAATAAACCCTAAAATTTAGAAAAGAATGATAATCACTTTGCAAACAAATCACATCCACAGATCTGAAAGGAGTTTACAGGAGTTTAGAGTTTACAAGAAGAATTTGCTGTGTAAAGAGGGTAAAGCTATATGGACGGCAGAAAAGGATGAAAAGAAGAAAAGCATTCATTTGGGATGAATGATTCCTTATATGGCTTCATTAAAAGCACTGATTGTGTGAAGTAAGAAAGAGAAATAAAATGAACAGATTAAAACAGAGAGCTTGCAAGATCAAAACGTAGACAGGGATAGACAAAACTGTGGGAAAGGCTCTGAAGAAGGATATACAACATGAGTAGCAGGCATATGGAAAGGCAACTACTCAAATGTAGAAGAAAAATTAAAACAGAACCACCAATGTCTCTTCTTTTAGATCAAGTAGCACTCTGGTCTGCCATGTCTTTGTGTTGAATAATTCCAGCCCTCCAGGGCAGGAACTGCTTCTTATGGGGTACTGTATATATATATATATAAAGGGCGGCACCATGGACCCCTTATTCTGCATGCAGCTTTGGACTAATTAAAGGACCTTCTTTTTAAAAATATATTTCTGAGGCCTAAAAAGTATTTGGCAGTGATTATGATGCACAACAAATCATTAGTTTGATGTCTTTTGTCTCAGTGCCCATGTCTGGACAACCAAATCCTAAATGTAAAGGTTAACCAGATGCGTAATTGTAATATAAACTCTAAAGACTTTAAAATTTAAAAATCTTTAAGCACTTGACTTACCTATGAGAGCAGAGCTCCCTGGACTGACAGTCAGTTTTGTTCCTGAAGGAGAAGTCAGCACTGAATGGGTGCTGGGCCCAGCACTGCTAAGCACTGTTGTCAAGTCTTCTAGGTAAGGAAGAGGTCGTGGAGGCTCTGGTAACAGATTGGGACAATGAGCAACACTATAGCAGAAAACATCTTGGGATATAGACCCCGCTCCTCTTCTCCCACTACCCGTCCCACCTCCCCCTCGCCACATATTGCTGCAATTTTCACTGTGCTGCAACAGTGCCATTTCAGAGGGGCAGATTAAGCAACTTTGGATAACTACTGAAACTTCGCCTCATGTGAGGTAAGGTGCTAGAGAAATTATTAAAATAACATCTATATCAATGTGACCACAAACTGAAAGAAATCATCTTCAAAGGTTACCACAGCATTCTGGTTGTCCCTATTCATATATGACAGTGTTATATGGTATCTGGAGATACAGCAGCTTGGAAGAAAAAGCAAATATATACAGTGTAGAGGCCAAAGGAAATGTTCATGACAATTAATGAAAAACTTTTAGTGTCTGCTACAACTTGGATCAAGCCCTAATTAAATATAGTTATATTGCTGCCAGATCCTGTGGTATACTTAGGCAGAACCCCAAAGGACTAAGAGTTCAAAGCTCAAGAGGGATCAGTCTATGCTGAGAACTGCAGGATTTAGTTGTTTACTAATCACAATGCTATTTTAAAAATTGAGGTAACGCCTAGCATTCCCAATTCTGCTTGTCATGAAAATGATGTGATATTAGATCAAAATGAACAGTGGCTTCATCCCTTTTCAATTAGATCACGGCACCCATTATCCAAGTTTTCTACTGCTGATATGATTCAGCACCAGGAGTACAGGTCAAGGATGCCAGAACTGTTCTGTTCCATCAAGGAGCTAAAAATGTAATTTGCTTACAAACATAAGCAGCTTGCATAACTCGCAGTAACTCACCATCTTTTAAAAGCTAAGCCATCTATAATGATCAGAAAAGGATTTAGAGATCATCTGGGAGTATTTATTTATAGGCTGAAACTCAGCTGATTTTTTTTTTCCAGATTTTTTTTTTTTGACTGACATTCTACAGTCAGTCTGGATTAGTGGGAGAAAAGTTTGAACCTTCCTTTTAGTACTGTCTGGGAAAATTTCACTGTTATACATCCTCTGGAAGCTCACTAGTTATGAAAGATGAGAGCTGTAGTGGATGCTGTAATGGTATTGCCCCAGTTGTGGGGAATAGGTTTCAAAATTTGAGACTTCATCACCAAATGCACTACTAAAGTACTTAAAAAGTCTGTCTGGATCAGTCATCTGCCAGGCAGGCAGAAATTATAGAAGATGAGTTACTAGGAAAGGAAACGCCTTTCCCACAATTGCCTTTCGCACAATTCCAGTTTCCATCAGGTACCACTTCCACTCATGTCTCACAGCTGCCACTCTCTTTCAAATCACCCAGATGGGCTTTCTGTCTGGTGTTTAAAAGCACGGGGAAAGTAAAATTCACCATTCACAGAACTTGAGATGTACTTTTTAGAAGCACACTGATTTTATGGACCTTTGTGAGGTGTGTCAGTATCACACAGCCTTGAATGGGAAGACTGCTCAGCAGAGACAGAGCACTTCACAGGGAAAAATGCCATCACTCTCATTTTAAGATAGTCACTTTAGACATGGTTAAAAAATGCTTTTCTTACCTAGCAATTCTGAGAGAGTATCTTGGGACTGGGAGGTGCAATCTCTGTCCTTAGATGTTTTTTCCTTATCCACTTTCCTTTTACCACCACCTTGCTTAAGCTGATGCTGCCCAGAGTACAAATGGAGACTGATGCTTTCTTTATAACAGGGCTGCCTGCATGCCATTTCCTCTTTCCACAACAACCAACTAGTTCTGTCATCTGGATGTGCCAGTAGCCACATTACTGCTGTTGCCAGTCCAAAATACCAAAATACCCTGGACTTACCAAGAACCAACAGCTGGGAGCTTTCAGTTACTTCCCCGTGGGGATTGGATGCCTTGCAGGAGTATAAACCTTGATCTGATAGAGAAACATTTGCTATTAACAGCAACCCATTATGCAGATGATGAGTAGAGGACAGCTTGACCTTGTTCTTAAACCACGTAACTTTTGCTTCAGGAACACCTGGAAAAAACATTGGCAAAGTGTAACTAACACAAGTATTACAAGGCAAAAATATTTGTAAGGCAAGTAGTTCAAGATGAAATGAGAAATACTGAGTGAAGGCTAAAGAAAAAGAGGAATGGTCAAGGAAGATTTCATATGGCCACAGTCCTTTAGAGCAGCGACTCAAATAAAACAACTAAATAAATACAGAGACAGACACAACTGGTTTGCTTCTTGCAGGCAGCTACTCAGATAGTCCTAGTCTATAAAGGCAGATTACTCTGCATTTCACTAGCAGCAGAAGAAACGGGGGTTAAAAGTGAGATCCCCTTAATGCTGAGGTATTGCTGTTAAATCTAAGAAAGATTCTTAGATTTAGAAGACTCTGCCTACAAAATTGTCTACACCAATGCCACAAAAATGTTTTTCTAACTGCATTCTACAAGCATGTCCTTCCCCTGCCTTCAATGTTTCCACACTAACAGGAGATTTGCAGGTACGGCTGTTCCTGCAGTTTGCTTTGGGAAAGATGAGCAGCGTATGTCAATGAGCAGCAGTTTTATTTTCTTTTGAGCTCCCACCTCCAGTGACACACGCAGCCTCGAGATGGGAGCAGGAGGCAGCCAGCACAGGGATGAGCAAACACACCGTGTCACATCACTGCTGCAAGGGGTGAGAGCAAGAGCCTCTCAGCCGCCTCTGCTGGGCAACGGTGGGTGCCAGAGGACAGAGGGCTGACTGCTTCCCTTGCACAAGTATCACAGAGACTCAGAGTCTGAGAGGTGCCAGCTGGAAACAGAACTCACTGTGCTGGACAAGCAAGACTTTAGGTAGTGAGTAATTACCCGAGCCTATTCTTCTTCAGCTTTTCCCTCCATCCACGTGCATGTATCCAGCACAAAAAGCCTACCTGGAATACTAGTAAGCAGAATTGTGTTATCTAATTGAGATAATTTTGCTAAACCAGAGGCTCAGGGAGAAAGGAATCATTGCAATACAAGTTTCTAACAGTGGTGACTAGTTTCCAATGCCACAACATTCTTGAAATGGTGAATAATATTTCACAATCTGGTATAGCTGATGAATAAACACGGGCCATAAATCAAGGCAAGAACTAGGAAATAAAACCTTCAGTATGTAGGTGAAATACAGAGGAAAGGACTGTTTAGGAGAACTGAGAGAACTACAAATTAGAGTTACAAAGATACAAGGATGTAAAGGACAGGAAGGTAACATACTTTAAGCCACCCTTCCAAACCTGTTCTGACTCGACAGTCACTAATTGCACATGACATTTTAGCATTGCAGAATGCCCTACAAACTAGATTTAAAAAACTTGTTCTTTCTTACATGTCAAACTGTATTTTCAGTAACAGTCTGGGCCATATTGCTTGAAATTTCTGGCATGTAAATGAATATCTGCACAATTTAAGCACTGAAATCAACAGGAAGCTCCCTAGTGATGCTGATGTTGCTCTCACATCCTATTTTTAAGTGAAATGGTGCACAGTAGTAAAGTTACCCACACCAAAAATGCTACTGACTTTCTGAGGCTTGGAGCAAATCCTCCAGCTGGCAGTCACAGGCATCTGGAAGACTTCTGACTGACTTTTGAGTGGGAGTTCCCCTAGGATTAGTTTTGGAGAAGTCTGGAATTGACAATAATCACCTAATGATAGTTAAAAAATATATTCCTTAACCTCTATAGACAAAGAAATTATTTTATGTCAACTCAAATAATGTTGGCTTACAATCTTGATCAAAACCATGACACTGTCTTTGTGGTAAAACTAAAATAAATAGAGCTTATTTATTCTTGACAGAATCACATCACGTGCCAATTAATTCTAATGCATTCTGAATGACTCTATTTCCCCCTGTCTTTTAGTTAATATCTATAGATTTCAACTCAGAAGACAGACTTTGACAGTGCTTATGCCTGTCTTAAGAAGTTGAAAAGCAATATAAGATTACTCCCTAGGCTTTGATTGTGTACTTTTCCATTATCTCTTAGTTTTAGAAACTTCTCCAGGTTTATCAACGTGTCAGCAGCAAGTGTGTATTTCTGGCACTTGACAGAAAACGCAGCTTTAGAGAATACCATAACTGAGCTGCTGGGGGATGGGTAGATATAAGTCTAATTGTGTCAGGAACTTACGTCTTTAAAGAGGAACTTACTAGGCCGCGGCAAAATGTCTAGTATGGACAACATTGTAACCAGACTAGTGAAGAGATTTTTGCTTTTATTTCCAGCACATCAGTCTCATAATACAAAAAGGAGACATGACAGCTCACTGATTTTCACTAAACTGAAGTATTGCTATATTACGGCACAGCAACTTAATGCTGTGAAAACCTAATCTTTGAAAGAGATATGATTCACGTTCGGCAACAGTCACAAGTCATCGTTCGAAAAACTCTGGTTGATTCTAAGGCCTTAATTCAAAACCTTCGTTCATGTCAATACTCTCATCTACTGCTTTCGTGAGATTTCGTACACTCTCTGTGCTTCTAATTCTTAATTCTCTTGCTTGAATGACAAAAACTTCTCGGACTGTTTTGTTCATCATTCGCTGAACACAACAGAGTGTACAAGGTACTACTATTAATATCAGTATTAGAACACCTAATACGTAAAGACTTATCTTGCAAAGTTGCTTAAGCTAAGGTGCAAAATTCTAATTTTGAAACAAATCATCCAACTAGGAACTTCTATTTTCTTTAATTTGCGTTGTCAGATCTTTTAATTTTTGAATGCTTTTGTGAATGGATTCAGAATGATCAGACAAATTTATACAACACAATCTTTCAAATTCTTCACAACCATGTCTTTGTGCCAGTAAAAGAAAATTGATGGCTGCTCTGTTTTGAAGAGTAGCATGTCTAATACTATTAACATCGGTCAACATATCACTGATTGCAGAGGATGTGGCATTCGCTTGTTTGCTCAGCTAACATCTAACTCGATCTAATTGTCTCAATGCCACTGTTGAAGCTAATTGTGGTAAAAATATACCTGCTGAAACGGCAGGCACCAGTTGCTGGGGGATGGGTAGATTTAAGTCTAATTGTGTCAAGAACTTACGTCTTTAAAGAAGAACTTACTAAGCTGCGGCAAAATGTCTAGTATAGACAACATTGTAACCAGACTAGTGAAGAAATTTTTGCTTTTATTTCCAGCATATCAGTCTCATAATACAAAAAAGAGACATGACAGCTCACTGATCTACTCCAAAAATGTCTTCTCCAAAATGTCCCCCTCAGGAAAGCCTATACAGCAATACATAAAATCATCTCAGTCTAGTTTCAGCCAATCAGATACAGAAAACACGTATTAACAAGCATTCTATCTAATCTCACAAAGTATACGTAATCGTAGTTAAAACAAAGACTAGTTCATAAGAGACAAAGAACAGAGTTCTATTCATGCTAACCTTCTAAAGATATACATTAAATAACCTTGTTGCCATCTTAAAACCAATTCTACAAAGGCCTATTGTTATTTGTCACGTATGCTCTACTGCTTGGGAAACTTTTCTGCTGTATTTGCAATGCTAACAAAACTTCAGTCTGAGGCTTATACTTTTTTAACCATTTCCTAAAAACCCTCTAACCTTATAGATTCCAACACTGAGCCTTAATATTTCTCTTGTAAGTAGCTATTCTGCTGTCTTGCTGACTCTCAGTAAAAATGTGTCTTTACCTGAGCTGAGCTATCCAGATCCAATACACGCATGGTCCTCTACCAGAGGCTGTACAGCGCAGTGATAGAAACACAGCTCATATTAATGGGATGAACTGATCTAGAACTCTCATTGGTTCTGCTGGCTCAGGACATCCTGACATGACTAGAGAGGAAGTACTAGAAGGAAAAAACTATAGCTTTACAAGACTGTGTGAAGAGCTGTTTTATCCAGACAAGTCTCCACATAATTTCTGGATCTGCCTTCTAACTAGTTTGCCTTCTAACTGTGATAACTTTGCTCTCATATACTAATCTAGTTTTTATTGCTAGATGTTATTGCATTAACTGTTGCATGTTAATTTACTATGATTTAGTAGCCATTTGATTGTTAATGTTTTCTGGGGGGCTTTGGCAAACTATACAGATGTAAAGTTTATCTACCCAAAAGAAATCACTAGTATACAACACATTTGCTGACTGCAGAAGTAGTGCATGTCACTCTTATCCTTAGAATTGATTGTTCTAAGGGTGATCAAAACTATGTAAAAGATGAATAATCATAAAGCTAAATCAAAAAGTTTGTGCTTACATTAGGAGGAAAATTACACTTATTCTCATACTATGTTACAGACTTTATGAGCTGGTTCATTTTCCAGGTGTAGGTGAGACAGTTGATAGAAATTCCTGTTCCTGGATCCTTCCTCAAGGTAGCATTTTTTGTAATTGCTGTTGAATTATTAACACTATTTTTATGAAATTAGGATTCCAGTGCCCATAAAACATATCTGTCCTCATTACTCGCTCTCTTATTCCCTTTGTAACATCCCAGCTTGGGGTTTGTGATTTTATGATAATTTCAAGGGCATTACCCTCTGGTGTCAACATAGTTAACATTTTCCACAGAGGCAGCAGCGGATTTTCTTTCACGCATGGAGAAAATTAGGATTTAAGAAAATTTTTTCTGTGTCACAGAAGACTCCAACATACAGATACTAGATAGCAAAAAGCTTTCTATTAGGCAAGAAGACAAGAAACTAAAATTTTCCATTTTGGATGTTGTCCTAGTGGGTGAGTTTCACAAAATTGCTAGAGATTATTTTCCTCTCAGAGAAGACTTTGAATTTGTGCCCCTGACCATTTTGTGCTTCCCTCCTGTAGTTTTCTGATATTTTAAGTGCTGTGGAAGCTTTATTTAGTCACATTCTGTTGTTTACATGGTGCTTTTGGTGAAGAGAAATGGCTACACTTAGATCACCAATAACTGTCTGAATCTGTGTGTTACGTGCCTGGGCAGCTAAGAGAATCTAGAGAGACAAATACAAAATAATTGGTGTTAATGTAATGTTTAGTCTCTTTCACACAGTGTCCATGCAGGTGAGCATGGTGAGGCCTGGGAAAAAAAAACAGGTATCATTTTCATCTTCTTCCTTGAAAGTCACTGAACACTAGTCCGATTGCAAGAGTGCGTCATACTATGCATAAAAGTGTAATGAAACCATGGTGTGGCCCCAGGTCTTTAGAGATTTCCCAGCTCCTCCTCCTGATCTCAACATCATTCCCAACAGCCACAGGACTGCCACACACAGATAAGGTCAACCTATTTTGGTTACCACTGGAAAGAGGCAAACCATCACTGTAAGACTGAGGGATATTCAGTCTCTGACTGGAAAACAGTTTTAGGGAAAATCCTGTTTCAGTAGAATTCCTCTAAACACCTGCAATTCCAAGATAAAAAAAAAAAGAAAAAAAACAGAAAAAAAAAGTGCTAATATGTGTTTAATGTAAAATAAGTTTGGCAGAAAAATAAAAAACTAGCTGGAGTGATTTTTAAAATCCCCATCAGTGACAAAATTAGTCAGTCCATGCCTGTATATTGTCACTGAACATCCCCAACTGGCAGCCATGTGTATCAGTTTTGTTGCAGCCACACCACACTGTGTATCTCTTACAATGACGCCTGTTGCATTGACTCAGAGTTATTTTTTTTGAGCCCAATTTTCTTAAGCCACTACACTTGCCTTGTTTGATATGGACAAAAGGAAGACAAATTCTGTGATAAGAATTAATGGAAGCAATGAAGTTTGTCCAAGAGCTAGGAAAACCTTGCAATTTCACTCAGCTGCAACTGGATATAGCAATTCAGCAAAGAATCACACAGAAATTTATAGCCAAAGGCACCTGCACAGGAGAGAATAATTTTTTTACCTGCAACCTGGCAGTTAATGCTAACATTTGCTTTCTGGATTGTTTTCAGCATGCTTCCAATATCAACAGTGACAGCAGGTGATTCAGTGTTGATCATGGTAGCTCTTGATGCCTTTATCAGTGGCTTTCCTGCAAAAAGAAGCATCACAGTTTATCATAACAAGCATATCAGCATCACAATGGGATAGACAGGCTGGAACAGTCTTTGTGAAAGTGGACACGACAAGAAGGTGGATAAGGCAAAAATGTAGTGTAAGGCCACCTGCTTTTTACAATATTTCAGTGTCACCAAAGTCCATGGGTAAAGCTGTTATGAAAAAAGAAAAGGCATGCTTGAAGCAGAGGCAGAATAGCACTGAAGCCATAAGGACATGCAGGAGAACCAGCTGAATCAATTAACACCAGCACAATTGGAGCTGCAGTGAGACGCTTGCCTGGCGCCGCAGCGCACCACCCCTCCTTGGTAAAGACCAACCCCAGGAGCCTGAGTGATGGCTACAAGCACAGCAGAGAAAGTTTAGAGTAACACACTAGCTGTTTCTACACATTGATCATGGTTTCCTTAAACAACAGGGGAAACACCAGGGTGGGGAAAACCATTTCTCATAATGGCCAGCAGAAGAAGATGAGGGATAAAAACTGAATTAATGTTATATACTGTTACTACACGTTTCAGTTAAAACAAAACAGGTTATCTGATGGGAAGGGGTTTATCTCTAATACAGCTACTGTTTTGCCCACAATAAAGTGTACTTTCAACACTGGTGACAGCAAGTCAAGGTGTTTCACTGCTGTTGTGTCTTTGTGGGATTACTTATGAAGTTATCCACCATCAGTGGCTCAAGAAACCTTCTGCATATGCTTTTGTAGGGCTACTGTAAAGGGATGCTCAAAAAACAGGTCAGGGGTCCGCAAGCTTAGCTTTGAGAGAGAGCACTAATGCAGCAGAGCTGACAAGAGCTGAATTAAGGTGCTCCCCTGTCTCAGAGAAAGTGCTCTGCAGTCAGGATACTGCCAGAAGAGCAGAAGATAACAGAACTGCTTTAAATCACATGAGACTTGGATGGTTTTGACTCAGTGTTGCATTTTCAAACACATAATTTTCCAAAAGTCTACAAACACCTTTTTCCCCCCCATTTGAAATAAGTGGTCAGATACAAAACCAGATATCCTTATGTGACTGCAAAAGCTGCAGTTTCAGGCTAATGTCTATCACTAGCTTTATTTGTATGTTAATTTGGCACTGACCAATGAAGAAAAGATGGATCTGAGAAAAATAATTTGATTTCATTGAGCTCATGGAGAGTTCTGAAAATTTAAGTCAGTCTTAAATATAAATCTCTCCATATAGCTATATTTCCAGGGCTTTTAAAAGATTACATTCATCTGTAACTCCTGTCATATCAGTTTGGTATTTTTTTCTATTTCACATTTCTTTAGTTTGATTATTTTAATACCCAAGAATAGCTAAGTAAAAGACTATATTTTATTGTTTGAATACCTCCAAAAGTTTTGATTCTTTTGGCAAAGTCTAAAGAAAAGAAAAATTCTTCAGCTATCCATCAGCCTTTTATTTTCCTGATTGGTTTCCATAATCCCGCCACAAGACTAAAATCTTTTAGCTGTTCAACCCATTAACAAGTAGGAAACCATTGTGAAAACAAAAAGAAGCATATTCATTTTGTGAAAACAAAAAAAGCACTATGTCTTTTTTTTCCACGCATGTGTTAAATGAATCAGAAAATTCTTTAATGAAATAAGCTTTCATCCCCACTCTTGGTTCCTCTAAGATGATCTCAGCTTTCCATGTTTTTTGGAGAAAATGCACCCATTATGGTAAAAAGATTGTTACTTTGTTCCAAGAACTGATCAGTATTTCACTTTGATATTTATGGTCTCATTTTATAGGTTGTTCAGCTTTTTACCTTAGAAGTGAGATGCAAAAGTATACCAGTTCCTAAGAGGAGTTTTGCTTGAGTCTGGGAAGCATGAATGTTAGTTCACCTAAATGTTTAAATAATAGCTTTAATAATTAATTATAATTAAAAAGCTAAAGTCTTCCTGTCTGACATATAGACCTAACACTTCAGTTTTACAGTGTTATACAAAAATATTGCCACAACATGTACAAAAACTATGAATTTACACTCACTAAACAGTGTGGACACAACAGCGGTTTTGACTGATGATTTTTTAATCTCATGCTCAGCTTCATGCTGGTGCAGCATAGTAGGTTTAGTGTGAGCTGGTTCTTCTAAAATATGACACTACCCTAACAGCAGCACTACTACCTTGATGCCTGGAGTTCAGCAAAGTTATTTCTGATAGCAGTAGTGTAAAAAGGATCAGTCTCTTCAGTTTTGCCTACAGGCAATTTGTAGCTCTGATGCAGATTTTTCTTTTTGCTCTGCAAGATTCACCCATTCTGGTAAAGGACAAGACAAAGTCTCTTTCTAGTTGAGATACTGATTTTCTAAGCTTCACTGCTATCCACTGTTGCCTTATTACATTTTCTTTATGCTTCTCTCAACTGAAATTTTCTCTGTGTTTGGTGTAATTTTTTTTTTTTAATTAAAGCTTATCAACAGCTATTCCTTCCTCTAGTCATACATGGATACAATGGCAGCTGATGATTGCTGCCTATGCATTGGAAGCCTCCAAGCATTTTCACATGCTGAAGCAGTGAAATGGATAAGTCTGCAAAATTAATAAGCCTTTCAGTATTCTTAGCATTTTTACTTTTTCCTCGGGGATAAACGGGATCCTCCTTCTGTAAAACCTCTCTGCCCTGTCACAATCAATAGCTGTCATTGTCTGTTCTGTTCCTGTATCTTAACAGCTCTTCATTCATGTTTGCTGCTCCACCCTTCTGCTAGTCCTGATGTGGAGGTGAGCCTGCCGACCATGTCTGCTCGGGAACCCCGAAGAAGCTGGATTCACACTTCTGACTCCCTTTGCCACCGGCTTTTATCTGGATGAGTCTTCTTTAGAATTGAATTCTAAACTAGCACAGGATATTTAGTCTGCTTTAGAATCTGCTACTAGAGGAATAAAAACATGGAATCTAATTTTTTCAGAACCTCTATTTGCTACAATTGAAACAGTGTCAGCCATGCTTGTGATTGAGGACAATACAGCGTTTGATCCTGTACAAGATTCAGCTCTGGAAGTTTTCTTGCTTGCCTAATGTACACCTGAGTAACTCCTGCAATCCATCTGTTATACTGAAGAGATCAGTGTTATGTTAAAAATGAAGCACAGAAGTTGGCAGGCTTGGACTGCACTGCCCCTACAGGCTGCAAATAACCAGGACACTGTTTTCAGAGCATGTCAGATGCAAGTAAGAAAAAGCACTGATGACTTGCAGAGACACGTAAAGCTCACAAACTATCTATGAAAGCCTTGGGGTTTTGCAGAGCTCACACCCTGTGTTTTCACCAGTGCACTTCTGTTGATGCATGTTACACAGCTTTAGCAGCCATCTGTTCCCCCACAAACAACTGTCCAGATTCACACAAGTAACATAGACAATCCTGCAAACACAGAGGTTAAACTATTACCTGCTAATGTGACAGCAATGGAGACAGAGTCAGATCCCAGGGCATTGGATGCATTGCAAGCATAGAAACCCACATCAGCTTCCACAGGCGCTAGAATCTGCAGGGAGTCATCAGGCTGAAGGAGCAATCTGGCATAAAGCAGAAAGAAATAAAGATGTAATAGTCTCTTAGTCCATGTGAACATGAACATATATACTGGGAATTTTTAGGTTTAGGTAGTATTTTTCATAGATCAGGCCTTTAGGTTAAATTTAAAAATCTATGAAGAAATTTAAATTCTTACATTGAGACTGTAAGTTGTGATTACTTAAATTAAATTTTAGTCTCATTCCCAGTTCCTCTACGGCTGATATTAAAGAAAGACTGCTTAATAATCAGACCCTAATAATCAGTGAGGATAGAGAGCAGTTCTCAGCTCCTCCTTGGACTGAACCCACTGTTTGTTTCCTCTCCAGTAAGAGCAGTCTACATGAGCTCAGCGTACTGCCTATGGTTAAACACAATTAATATGGTCTTAGTGCTCTTCTGAACGGCTTTTTTCACTGTCTGGTTTTGCAGTGGTGTAACTCATAAGGTCCTGGTATGTGGTGATGCGTCTTTGTTGTGATAATCCTTTTGGTTATTGCTGTAATATATTCAGTATGTTACATGGTTTGTTCCTAGCAACCCCCTCACAGTTGGTTTAGCCCAACGCTGTTTGCCCCCTTTCCTGTCTCTCCGTGCAAACACCTACCCCTAATTCCCGATCCTTCCATGTCCATCATTGTGGCCCTGCCCTCTGCCTTGTCATTTAAGTGGAATCCCAACCTCTCGTTCTAGAACCCTCTGTGTCATCTATGTAATCCCTGGATTCCTATAGGTTCTGGGAGAGTGTTCTTCTCCCCATGTATCCCTCATTGGTTCTGAGGCGATGTGATCCCGCCTTGTGCTCCTCCTCTGCTCCCCATGTTTGTTACTGTGTTGTCTGCTCCTCTGAGGCCTCCTCCCTTTATAAGTTGTAACATAGTACTGTTCTTGGTTCTACTGTCACGGCATCCCTTCAGAGGTATTTTGTCCCCTTTGGAATAAAGCCTTCTTGGAGACACATACAAAGGACCCTTCCTGTTCCCCTATCTCACCCCTCGGTGCTCCAATCCATCTGCCCACAGTCAGAACTGTTGGCCACCCTCTGGCTGCACCGCTGCCCTTGCAGGTCGGTGACTGGGCAGGGAGCGGGCACTCGGTGGTGCGGCCCCAAGGGAGAAAGTGATCTAGCCTGGCTAAGCTTTCTCCCTGAAATCGGGTACTGTGTCTGCTTGGCACCCAACATGCAGCCTTCCCTCTTGTGGCCAGACCCCAGCAAGAGCTGTCCCTCTGACCCAAGGTGTTGGGGTTGTAAAGCTTGTTGGATCATCAGAACCCCTGAGCAGCTTGCCTGCTTTCTGGTCGCTGCGGCTCCCAGGGAAGGAAGGGACAACCTTGTACACGTTGTGGTGGACATAAGGAGGAGCCCTTCCTGGGTGAGGACCATTCCTTATGTCTTTCTTTCCGAAGATTATTGGATTGGTCAGTATCCCGGCAGCTGGGACAGACCCAGCTGGGTGCTCATGGGCTGGGTGTGGGTGCATTCCCAGATTAGGGGAAGTGTGGTGCATTGCATTAGCATCCCACCCCTGATGATTCCTTGGACCCTTTTTCTTTCGTTTGCTCCTTTTAGCCATGGAAGTTTGGAGGAAAAAGTTGTGTTGGCAGTATGGGTGCCAGAATGTCAACCCCACAGCAGGAAGTTTATCTCCAAGTTGTGAGTTCCCTGGAGAGTGGGGGAATGGTGTTTTCTAAGAGTCAATTGAAGAGATTTGTAAGACGGTTGTTTTTCCATTTTCCGAATGTGACCCCCCAAGATGTTAAGATGGTCGCATTTTGGAATGGAGTGGGAGCCAAGCTCACAATAAAAAACTAAAGAGAGCGACTCATTAGGGGATGAATTTTCCCATATTTTCATTAAAATGCAATCAATTACAAAAGATTTTGGAAGGAAACTGGAGAAACAAACAAATATATCATCCCTAGTGCACTCCAAGACCCCTTGTTCCTCATCCCCTGTTCCTCATCCCCCTTGTTCCATATTGGGTAGACTGGGAAGAGCAAACCACCCAGAGAAGATGCAGGGCAGCCCCCAAGTCATGGATTGTCTCCCTGGTTCCCCAAAACCTCCTCAGTATTTGTGCCCTGACAGTGTTGGCTCCACTGTCAGGGATCCTTTCCCAGTCCCTGTAACCTCACCCTCTTCCCCAGTTATAAATTCCCCAGTTTATCTCCAAGATGGCACCTTCCTGAATGCTGAAAAAGGAACACAAGATGGCTGTCACCACATGAAGTGGCCCCTCACTTGTGTTTCTTCTCCTCACAATCCCTTTCTCCCTGTCCCATCCCCTCAAACCTGCCTCTTCCTGTCCCCAAACCCCTCCTATGTTCCTGACTCCTTCCATTCCTTGGTGTCAATCAATTTGGCTCCACCCATGGGTCCTGCCAGTGCTCCTCCTCTGGAAGTTCCATCCCCAATTCCCACTGCCTTCAGTTGCTCCACCCAAACTAGTCCTGGCTCTGCCTCCAGGTTCCATTGCCAGCTCCACCCACTTCCAGTTTCCCACGCTCCTCCTTCTGGTTCCTATGGTGATGTGGGGGCTGTGGGTGAGTCAGTGGGAAACCGAGGGTGGAACAATGATGGTGATGTCATCTTCGCCCCCCCACTAACTTATGACGGTAGCGAGAGGCATCCCAAGTGGGTGCCTTTCTCCTACCAGAACATCATAGAATTGTACAAGACTCAGAAGGAGGTTGGCCAGCACAGGGAATATTTCAAGGGCCCCTTAAGAACAATGTTATTGGCAAACACCATAGTCCCGGGTGATCTAAAACAAATCTTTTCCAGCCTGCTCACACCATCTGAGAATGAGCTGTGTCTCAAGGCCTGGAAGGGACTGCTTGCTGACCTCCTCCCTCAGCTTTGGGACAACACTGAAACAGCAACTGATTTAGATGACAATCTCATCACAGTAAGTCATCTAGTCTGAGAGGGTGACTGGGCGCTGGATTGGAAGCAAACTGAAAAAATCTCTAAAGTTGTCCTTGACAATATAAAGGAAGCTGCTCAAAAGGCATTCCAAATTATGCCAACAAAAGAGCCCTTGCCCAGTTTTATATCTTTGAAACAATAGGTTGATGAGACCTTTCTAGATTTTGTAGATAGAGTCAGGGCGGTTGTTGAGCGGAACGTGGCCAAACCAGAAATTCAAGAGAAAATCATCCTGGAAGTGGTCATGGAAAATGCCAATGGGGAGTGCAGAAACATCATCCTTGCCCTTCCCTTGACACCGCCACCCTCATCAGACGTTATTATGGGAGAGTGTACTAAGAAAGCAAGACCAGCGGAACACAGAAGAGTGTTACCACCAAAGAAAAGACAGCTGCAGTTATGGACACCATTCCACCGGCCACTCCACTGAGGAATTATTACTGCTTCCATTGTAAGCAGCCAGGACATTGGATTTGGGACGGTCTGTTTTTAGGGAATGCTCCTCTAGTACCAGGAAGGGTAGGGGAGGAGGGGGAAGGGGAGGAAACAACCCTCCAAAAAACTAGTGTGGGAGCTTGGAACTGCCTTGTGCAGAGCGTAGGGTGGTTGTTAATGAAAACCTTAATGATGGTCCCTCTGTTTTTTTCACTTCCCAGGACAAGACAAAGCTGTTCCGGCTTGAATTAACCCCATCTATGATGTTTTCTTCACCGTACTGGCATGAAATCCATGTAGACCCAGGATAGGACACTGTGATTTGCCAAAGGGTCAAAGGTCTCTACTGGCGGGGTTGTAAGTACCTTGTTGTAAGGGACTCGAGACACACACCCCCTGAGACCGAGATTGAGCTGGGAGTTATACCACCTACTCTGGGGTATCTCATTCTCCTGCCATGTTGTGTCTATCCCTGCCATCCCTGCCTCTTCCTGAAAGGCCAGGTCATCATTCAGGTCATTCCATTGGCTCAACAGCTGTTTGATGACCTGGACCTTTCAGTTTATTATACCAAGGCAGTGGGAGAGGACAAGCCCCTCATTTGGTGCAGCCTTAAGAGTAGAGGGCATTCTATACAACTACAAGGGATGACGGACACAGGGGCGGATACGACGGACATTTCTCCACACAAATGGCTGTCACACTGGGAGCTACAAGATGTGGCAAGTGGGTTTCAAGATGTAGGGAGAATCTAATTGGCAAAGCAGTCTAAGAGCATTGTACTAATTACGGGACCTGATGGGCAATTGGCTCAAGTATGCCCATTTAAGTTAAATTCCAAATTCACTCTGTGGGAGAGACACGCCATGAACCAGTGGGGAGTCAGGCTTGAGATCCCTACAACTCCCCAGGTTTTTTGAGTGCGGCCACTGATGAAGAGTGCCCTACTCAGAAACTGAACTGGCTCACTGATACACCTGTCTGGGTAGATCAGTGGGTGCTGGGCAAACAGAAACTAAGTGCACTCACTCAACTCATCGAAAGTAAAAGGTAATATCATAGAAACAAGCAGCCCTTGGAATTCCCTGGTATTCATTATCAAAAAGCTGGGGAAGGACAGTGGTGCCTCCTTCACGATCTGAGAAAAAACAAATGAAGTCATCAAAGACATGGGGTCTCTGCAACCAGGGATGCCATCCATCTCAATGCTCCCGCAAGATTGGAAATTGGCGGTAATTGATATCAAAGATTGTTTCTTTCAAATTTCTCTACACCCAGCCAATGCCCCACGTTTGGAGTTCCTGGTTCCTTCCATCAACCGAGAGGCTCCCATGAGGTGCTAGCCACTGGCATATTCTTTCCCAAGGGATGAAGAACTCCTCTTCCCTCTTCCAGTGGTATGTCACCAAAATCCTATCCCCACTGCGTGCCAGAGCAGGGGAGTGCGTCATCTACCATTATATGGATGATGTGCTAGTGTGTGCTCCCAATGACAACATACTTCCGCAGGTTCTTGATGGCACATTATTGCTTTGTTGGTGTCAGGATTTGAGTTTTAACAAAAAAAAGTGAAGAGGCTGCCACCCTGGAGGTATCTTGGTCTTGAGATCACCAACCGAATGATGACACCACAGAAGC